TTCCCTTGAATAATTCCTGTTACTTAGGTCTCAAAACCCCCATGTTTCAGATGCTCCAGCTCATTTAATCATAGATAAACTAATTAAATCTGGGGCATGAATATTTCATTTTGCATATGTTTTTCTTTTTGAATATGCTTTTCTTGTTTAATATAGATAAAACAATAAAATGTGTATATGAATGTTAATGATTTCTGTTGTGAACCTTCAATACTGAAAATTGTCCCCTACGTGGTGGGCTTTATAAGTAAGCACAATGTGAGACAGGAATAGAGAGAAGCATCTAAGCTTCCTATTCGATATCAGCTCTTCATCATCCTTCATCATCTAATACTGGTATTTCACTGCCTGTCATGTTAAAAAGCTTTGTGTATGGGGCAAATAATTGTAGCAGATGCAAAATTACAAATGGTAGTATATAAAAGCAAAATTAATAAATTAAACTTAATATTGGAAAACACCTTTTTAAGAGAGTTCCTAACCATTAAAATAACTGTTGGTGTATAGCTTAATTTGCATATTTTTGCTAACATTAAACAAATTTATAAGAGGAATATATTTAGATGGATACAATATTTGATACTGCAAATAATAATAAAAATATGCTCACTGCATTGTGAGGCACATTTTTTTAAAAGGCATGATGCAAAGGAAGGTATGCAAAGGTGTGTGTGTTCATTGGCTTTAATGATTTAATGCAAGGTGCAACTGTTCCTTGTACTGCGTAGGTAGTAATATGCTACAGAGCGCAGGTAAATTTTCTCTTCTTCAAATATGAAACAGGCTTTGTACAGCATTCATGTTGGTACCAGAATGATTCAGCAAGTTTACAGGCTTAGTTTGAGACTTCAAAGGTTTTGTCCATTGAATCAGTATGGAGAGTGTATTTGAATTCTGAAGAAATGTGATTGCTATAAATCACTCTTTTTTGCAGAGAGGAGGATTAGGTGATACTGAGCCGGTGAAAAGAGCATTTTGCTAGCTGCTTTCAGTATAAAAGGTATTCTAAGGATCTTTATATAATTTACCTGCTTGGCCTAATTCTGATACCACTTGTACCGATCAGAGAATTGTATTGAAATGATAGAAGTTAGGCTGGGGAAAACTAGTGGATCCCTTAGTGTTTCATTCCCCCAAGACACTTTTATCTCTTATTTGGTACGCTGGTCCGTAAGATTCATTGTGTGTTTCAGGCTACTGAATGTTAAATGATGCAAGCAAAAGAAAGAATGTAGACACCTACTCTTTTTCAAGTTAGATTATGTAAAATACCCAGAAGAGACTTAGGTTTCTAAGACTGGTCAGGTGTTCAGGATTTCCTTATTCCTATTTAGGAATCCTAGGCATCCTAGCACAAACTTAGAGCTAAACTTCAAGAATCCAGATAGTCTAAATATTTTATTGATTACATTTTATACACTGAAGTAGAACACAAAGTGTAAGTTACGTTGTGGATTTTTTTTTTTTTTTAATACGCTTGTATCAATACATAGCGCTAACCATTTTAAATTGCAGTCAAATTACCTACTGCTATGGGTCCATTCATGTGAAACTACCTGTAGATAATATATTTTCTTTTGATACCAGTGGCTTTTGTATTAGCTAATATGACAGTAAAATTTCCTTTATGATACTGGTATATTAACGTGTAATTATACAGCCCATGTATAACAGCATGTTGGAGGTCGTCTCTGCTTTTAAGACTTGGCTGGGTTGACAACTCTGCCCATGAACAGAAGGCAACTGGTACGATGTTCATAGATCAAAAACAAAAAGGGGCGGTCGACAATAAAGCGAATCTGAGTAGAAAGAGGCATGAACCCGACATTGGTTGTTGCTCCAGCCTCTGTGCCTTCCTCATTTACAGTTATTGTGCCTTGATGGTTGAACTGTTTAAACAAACAAAAAAGAAATTGAGGATCTTGTAAGTACACTCAAATGATGTGCTCACAGCCTTCCCCCCCTCCATGTCCCGCACGTATTCCCTTGTGACAGTCTTGCTGGTAACTCCTATGCGGCAGCAATCCTTTGGTTTTGGTTTGTGAATAAGCCTGCTCCTGACTGACTGCAACACTTTTAGTGCCTTTGACATCTGATTAAACATGTTCCTCATTATATGAATAAACAAGGACATGCAGAGAAACCCACTTCCCTCCTATGTCCTCCAGGAAAGATGAGAAAAAATATTATTTTAGCTTACTGTGAATTATTTTTACTGTGTTGCCATGTTTTCAGGTGACATAGTTTAATCGGAAAGGAAATGAAAAGAGAAGCAAATACCCTGTCAATGGTGACTTTCTCATCTGATACACCAGAGTAGTCGCCTTTTTCATTGAACGGTTCTTCTATTCCCATGGATCTCAGATAACCAATCAAGTTATAACTCTTCTCCAGCTTAAATTTAGGCAGAACCACTTCTCTTGTTCTAGTAAAAATAAAAACAAAAATGAAAAATCATTGAGGAGATACATATTTGCATGACTCCTTTGCTTTACATATCTGTTGTGGTTTGGTTTTTTTGCTGTCTTCAGCAAGTAGGACATAGAAATATACAGGATTGTTTACTGTACTTTTACTTTCAAAACGTGGGCATCATTACTTTTAAGCTGTGTTTTAAAAAATTATTTCCCTTCCCAAAACTGTTAGTTTCTCAATTTAGTATTTCCCTTATGATGATTTACGTTATTTATGTGTATAAGATATATGGCTTTGAGCAGTTCAGTACATGGTTGGATATGCTTGTAATAAATGTTGAACTATCAGATTTTCTGGAGTACTAAATTGGAGATTTGTCACTTACTGTATACAATAGAAATAGGTTGGCTTCTGAATAGCACATCAAATTAGCTCTTTTTATCAAGTGTGAAGATAGATACCACCTAGTCTGTCATCTTGCACAAGAGAGACTCTATACTCTCCCATAATTGTGATGTCCATTGTTGATTACTGAATGTGTGCCTTTACACAACAGATACGTTGAAATGCATAGTGCTGAAATGAACATAGGCTGCTTTCCACATGATCAAGATTATGCTGCACAAATAACTTGTTATTATCATACTCCTGTTTTTCCTCCTCATTGTAAACTTTATCAAAGAACTTTTTCTTTAAATCTGTAACATTAAATACTTAATAGAAAGAATTTTGGAACTCCTTAGAATTTTCCACCTCAATCGTCTTTGATTTCTTGATGGCATTTAAATTTTGAGAGATCACTGGTCCTGATTTTTAATTCACTAAATCCATCTTTTTGGGGTTTTTGTTTAGGTTTAATGTTTTTAATTAAAATATCATATGTTATCTTCTGTGCTCTTTACTTACTCTTGTCAATCTCATCAAGAAAACACAGTAAGACTTTAACAA